GTTCCTCAACCTCAGCAACTTTAAGATGGGTGGACTTCAACTCCCAGAATTCCCCAGCCAGCATGGGGAGTCCACCCAAGTCCACCCATCTTAAAGTTGCTGAGGTTGAGGAACCCTGAACTACAGGATGCATGACAAAACTATGGTATCATAAGACCATGTGGACTCTCTTACTGTCTTGGGGAGTACAGCCCATAAATGAAACAAGATATGCAAGCAGCATAAGTATAAATATAAAATAAATAGAAATAGAAATAGAAACTACCCAAGAATTAAAGTCTCTTAAAAGCGAGTGCATTGTATAGTGGCTCCCCATTGTAATCTGGGGGGAAAAAACCCTTTCTCTTCACTAATCAAGTAACTTTTTCTTCATCAAATCAACATTTAGCACTTAGCAAAAATGTCCGAAAGGATGAAAAAAAATTATTCATTTTATGGTTGCACAAAGCAAAAACATTTGTACTCCAAATTTATTAAACAATGTCACATTCCTGCTATTGGTAAATTCAATATATACAGGACCTTTGAGGCTCCATAAGCAAGCTAACATTTAGATTAGAACTGTTTGTACGCTACCATCAAGTTGCATGGGGCAAGTAAAAAAGCAAGTCACTTCTCCAAGGATATTGTAATCTAAATTAAACAAAAAACCAAAGGATAACCTTGTCAATTGAAACGCTACCTTGCTTTCATCTTAACAAGGTATGGTATATTTCTTGAGAAATATAATGAAGCAACTGATACTTAATTCACTGCTTTATAATTATCAGAAAAGCCCCGTTCATGTTTTTTTTTTAAATGACAAGAATTCTGAACAATATAAACATTTTTTCTTCTAAATAGAATTTATCTTAAACTTGAATTGTCTTCAGATCAATTGTTCCAATATAACTTATGTGTACCATATTTTAAGCTGCTTCTCACTCACTAAATCTGAGAATGTTTTCAACTAGCTACAATAGAATTATTAAAAGTAGATTTAATCAAATATTTTGATATAGTAACTACTCCAAAAAATTAGTTTGAACTTGTTAACATATGTCAAAAAGTTAATGACATGGCCAAATGTCCTTTTCATTTATATTGTTCAGGACACAATTGTTTTTTAACTAATTAAACCATTGTTAAAAGGTATTACCATTAATCATAATTTCCCCAGGTTCCAATTAAAAGTTAAAAATAGGTGGAACTGATGTGAAACTAAACCAGTCCATTCTTCAACACAAATCAAACCTTGGAATACTATACCTCTGTGAATATTTATGTGACTATCCCATACAAATCTTGCTTATTGATACTGAGCCCACACAATAAACATGGCAAAACTGAGCAAGCTGCAACAAGGCTTAGTGCAATACGTGAATCAGTTTCTGTCTTTTACTTTGCTACTTCTCCTGTTTAGTTTAAAACTTTTAACATTCGAGGCAATCACCTGCAGTTAGCAATGTGCATCTCTCAAATGTACTGAGGTTGGATCTGATGGCTTAAATGGACTTGATGATTCTAACACTATGAGTCCAATTTACATAACAATTATGCTTATGTAAACTGTTTTGAGTGTACAGTGATTGGGCCAATGTTGCAAAGTCAATAAGCTCATTTGATTTAATTAACCCAGACAAGTATGCTCAAGCAATTTGAATTTTGCTAGCTTCAAGCTGTCACCAAATAGTGATTAGCAGCTATTCAGGAACAGTACCTCAGGGGATATATGGGTTCACTTGTTGTACCTACTGGTTCTTCCTTAAAGAAGCATCCCAGGAAAATATGTGTTTTTGCTAAGGAGGCAGATGCAATCCCAGGAAAATGTGTTTACACAATAATATTTCAGTTTATTTAGCCAATTGAACCAGTTGAAGTAAAGAGATGCCTACACTAAACCATCAGACCACTCCTGGGAACTCACCCTCACCCCTCTCATGTTACACAGTTCTGGAGTATCTGGATGTGGCTCTTCTCCAGGTAAAATGTTTCACCTAGAGAGATAGTTATGAGAACCACCTGTTCTCATATAAGGAGATGCCCCTTTACCTGGAATCTGGATGTGGCACAACAGGACAATCTCCTTCCATACGAGCATACTTTTAAATAGTGTTCAGTCTTCCTCTTTTAACCAGGGTTACCAGGTCTAAGGGGAATTGGAATATATGGTGCTAACTACTGCACCCAATACTAGAGTAGTCAAGAAAAATGCTGCTTTTTTAAGAGGCAACACAGTAAGGATTGGAGAGTACAATTTAGCTGTAACAAGTTCCATGAGGTTGAGATCTGCACCAAAGGTAGCCCTCAGAAATCTGTAAGCAGTTTGAGGAAACAGAGATAAGAGTTGCAGAATTGGAACAGATAAAAAACACCCACCACTGAGCCAGCAGCACATAAAATAAATAAATGATCCCTCGCATGACTAAATGGAGCCTGACAACTTTACTAGTTCCTTAGGGAGTTTTAGGCACAGACACATGAGATCCTTTTCTCCTAGTTCTTGCTTCTTGCAGACACAACCAAGACACAATGAGAATAAAGAAAGTCAAGTTCCTTTCCCTTTGAATTCCATTCCTCTATCACTCATTGCAGATAGTCACTGCCTTTAGAGAGCCCTTAAGAATCATCAGCAGGCCAGCAAGCAATTCCAACTTAAAAAACAAAACAAAAACACTTAGGTACTATTCCACCCTAAATTAATAATTTTCTTACTTCATTAAATCAGGCAATATCTTTATCATTGCATATCTGATTAACTAAAGTTGCTAGGGGACAGCTAGGCCACTGAGTCCAATACTTAGCAAAGTAGTCCAGATTAAGGCATCTCCAACTAATGGGTGGTCAGAATTTGCTTGAATGCATCCAACTGTTGAGCAGCTCACCACTTTTCCTTGGGAACTGGTTCCACTGTCAAACTGCTTTTAGCATTAGAAAGTTTTCCCTAACGTTCAACCGAGATCTGGCTTTCTACATCCCTTAAGACCTGAGAAAATTGTTTGTTTCAGAATCTGGAGCAACCATTCAGGTCAGCCATGGTTTGGCAGAAACCAAAACTTGGAACACTCTGGTTGTTATAGGTTTCAGGTAAAATAAAATCTGGACAGGAGACGTAGAGCCAGACTGGCATGTGTTGCCAGTGCAGCATATTCCAGCAGTTTACCCACCTCCAATCTTCCAGGCACCTTTCCCCCGCTTTCCTCAGCCACTGCCAACTGATTCAAACACAGAATATCCAACAGACCCCAAATCTTCCCAGCCTCTTTCCTCCCTACCCTCAGCCATTGACACAGGGCATATCCTACCAGTCCATTGTCCCCAATTCTCCCAGCACCTTCCTTTCTTCCACTAATCTTAGAAGGCTTCTGCCTTTCTTTGATATTTTCATTATCGTCCTTTGGTCTCCCATAAGTCTGTTTACATCTGGATCAGAGCAGCTGAAACTCTAGCCTGTCTTAACTAAAATCTTGCGAACCTTCCTGTGGAAGAAATTCCAAAGAGCTTACTCCCAAGGCTGTAATAGATAGCATTGGGCCACTTAATACATTTTTAAGAAGATAATGTGTGTTTGTTTAAAACTTTTTTTTGCCCAGCCTTTCAACTTAAAATTGGAGAGTGGGGCAGAAAAATACCCTTCAGTTAATTATACTTTGAACTTTTCCTATCCCATTTTATATCAAAGTTGACTGTAAATTTTTTTTACACAAGGAATGATGGTTTGATGAGCATGCTGAAATTCAAAAGGATTTTATCTAAGTTGGTTAGTAGATGCCCAAATCATGTGGCTTAACTTGTTCCTTTAATTCTGAATTATGCCATAATAGTTGGACTTTCAAATTTGGA